ACATTTTGTTTTGGCATGCCTGAATTTTGTTGGGATATTTTAAGTTCGAATCTTTTTCTAGTCAAAAATTGGGTGTCATTGTTGACTGGCTGGAAAAAGTGTCTTACTGTGATTCAGTGTGCTGACCAGAGTTGGAAAAGTACAGTTTGTCTCGAGGAAGTTAAAAATGAACAGTGGCGTCCACATGCAGTGCATGTGCAAGCCACCAGTGTTTTCTATTGGGTATAATCTGATTAAGTGTCAGTGAAAAACTGCTGGTGGGTAGATGGGGGGTGGAGGGTGGTGAATCAGTGAATACAAATGCCAAAAGCTAAGCTTGAGCTTTCTTTATCCTTTTCATTGGAGTTCTATTTCAGTAAGCAGGGCTTTGATACCATAAAAATGTCAATGTGATTAAGCAAATGTCACCATTTAAAGAGATTATTTTCAACTCATCTCCCACCTCCCTTCAACACCAAAAGAGAGAGAAAAGAACCAAATTACCCAGGAATGACCCTTCCGCCCCTGCCCCACCACAGAACTCACTAAGGACAACACAGGACATTTAAATTTTGTTCCGAGATGAGTTATCCAGGATAAGAACTGGTGGTAATAAAAATTGTGAAACTGTCTGAAAGGTTTTCGGTAGGGTCCAGTACAGACCTGAGCCTCCTTTTTTGAATGAATGGAGACATCATTCACCTCTCACATTTGAGAGGAAAAATGAAGCAACCCCTTGTGTGTTTAACTGCTGGCTTGAAGATTTGATTCCAAAGACTTGCCACAGGGGTGGGGAATGGCCTCATCTGTCAGGTGATTCTCAGCTCTCCTGACTCAGCAATGATGGAATGGTTTGCTTCTGGAAGAGGAAACCAAGGATTGCTGACCACCTTGGTAGGTCAGGCACTTACATACACAGCATAGATAGCACCCCTGTTGAGGTACTGAACAGAATACAGAACTATCTCCAGGAAAAGTTGGGTGATTTGCAAGGTTACACAGCCTGAATGTGGTAAAGACTGGATTCAGTGCCCATCTACCAAATCCCACATTCTTTCCCTATAAACCTCACTGCCAAGGGAATAGCAATGGATGGAATTTTTTCAGTTGGTATTTTTTTTTAAAGATTTTTATTTATTCATGAGAGACGCAGAGAGGCAGAGACACAGGCAGAGGGAGAAGCAGGCTCCATGCAGGGAGCCCGACATGGGACTCGATCCTGGGACTCCAGGATCACGCCCTGGGCTGAAGGCAGGCGCTTAACCACTGAGCCACCCAGGCGTGCGTTTGTTTATTTTATTTATTGAAAAAGAGCTAGAGAGAGATAACCCAAGCAGGGGGTTAGGGAGAAGGGGCAAAGAAGAAGAGTTAGTGCTGTGAACCCCTAAATTCCAGAACCACAAGGAGTCTGGGAGTAAAAACAGCAATAATTACAAGTAGCACTGATGCCATGCTTACCAAGTGCCAGGCATCTTGCTTGCTCTTAAGTGTTTCCTCTTTTCAAAGTCCCACAACTTCACGAGATAGGTACTGTTCATGTGGTCACTTCAGGTGGCTAATGTTCAGAAAAGTCAACTAATTCAACCCGCAAAGCCAGGATTCAAACTCAGACACACAGATTCCAGGTCCTGTTTTCACCTCACCCCTTTTGAGTTTCCAGCCAGCCAAAGGAATTTCATAAATATTTTACCAATAAGTTATACTGAAAGGGTATCATTTTACAAATCCATCGAAAAATCATTGCCTTTTGTCTTTCAAGGATGTCTTTAACAATACTGTGATACCTATTTTTTGTGGTAGTTATGTCATCTCCTAAATTGAGAGAACTAAGGAGTGGCCCAACCAACCAACCAAATCACATGGGTGCCAAGAAAGGATATCTAACTAGCCAGACAGATGAGTGGATGGATGGGTGGGTGGTTAAGTAGGTAGGTAGGCAGACAGACTGACAGATTTACATATATATTATATATATGTCTATACATCCATTTTGGCTTTTTTTTTTTTTTTGATTCAAGGAAAATCCCACCCAGGAGAAAGGGTTTTATTTCTTCCTATAGAACTATAATTGAACACGTTCTAAATATAGAAGTCAAGCCTTCCCTCACATATCTCATTCTTTGAGACTCTGCAAAGTCTCGGTAATCTGGCAAAAATAGTCCTGAAATCCAGAAGAGCAGAGAGAGGCTTTCTTACTGATGAATTTTCCTGGTGAATTTTAAAACAGCACTTGAAATTTTGCTTTTTGGACTGAGATGTCAGAATCATTAAAATGGATTTATGCAGAGAATATATATATTTATATATATTTCCTGATTTTATATATACGTATATACACATATAAATATACATGTATATAAACATATATATTCAAATAAAAAGAAGTGTTTGCCATTTTTAGAGCACTGGAGCTCTGGAATGCACAGCTTTGATCATTGCTGCAGCCTGAACAGCTGTTCCTGAACAGATGTGATGCTGTAGAGCCTAGAAGAACCAACTTAGAATGTTTGAACATAGATTTGCAGCAAAATGCCTTTCTTTCTGAGGGAGACATTAAGGCTGCAGCCAAATACAGTCGTCAGCAACTTCCTTTTTCTTTGCCACCCAAAGAATTCAAATGGAACAAAGACCAACACAACATTCTAAAATGGGAAGAGATACAAATGGGGACTCAGATTTGCTCTCCTAAAGTGTCCCACTTAAGTCAGAATCAGCCCTGCCCCGAGGGGTGGGTGGCCCAGGGCTGGGAACAAGGGTGGGTGAAGGTGGGGGGAATGGGAAGGACAGGAAGACAAGGGAAGTGGAATTCAGTTACCAAATACAGTTTTGTGCAAGAAGTCAGTGGCACCTCCCTCCACACACAGAGCCAGCTTCTCTTCTCATTTCCAGGATGTGGACATTTTGCAAGGATGGCAATAATCACCCATGATGGCAGAAAACTGGAATCTTCCTTGGCTTTCATTATACTTATTTTATAGTACTTTCCCTCTTTGAGTTCATACAAAGAGTGCAGCTCCGTGACCTTCCAAAGCGAGGTCTGTTCCTGTCTGAATTTTTCTTTTTTTTTTTTTGTTTTTTTGTTTTTTTATTTTTTTTATGTCTGAATTTTTCTGATAGCAGTTAGTGCCCTCAGTATAATGTTAACTATTATTATTAGCATCCCAGTGATTTTTGTTGCTGTTACTATCTATACACTTACAAAGTGCTGGTCCCTGTGCAGGGCTGGGGCAGGAGCGGGTGGCAGGCAGACAGGAACCCTTAGCTGCCACCATCCCACATTTTCCTTCTGCGTCTCCTCTGGGTCCTGCCCCAGCCAGCCAGCAAGAGTTGCCATGGTGATGGAGAAAGCGTGGAGGTTCCAGGCCACATGCCTACCTGCCCGCTGGCACCCTGTTCTTGCTGACTCCTTTGCGTGTTGGGAAGAGGATTCCTCCCACGGTGGGGAAACGTACCCTGCAGCGGAGGGTCAGGAGTCTGTGCTACCAATCTGAACACAAACTCCCAGAGACTATGCCTGGAAGCCTGGTATTCTGGAGAGTTTCGGAGGAACTGAGAATCTTTCTCTTTAGGGAAAGGAGCAGGGAAAGAGTGGTAGGAGCTGGAAATTAGGCCTGGAGTCTGTCGACTGACAGTTGTTATACTGCCTTGGAAGAAATAGGATTTTTAGTTTCTCACCTATTTCCCCTCTGCCCTTGTAAAAGGCAAAACGTAGGCAAATGTGGACCAAGGCATGGCATGGGGTAGGAAAGGTGACTTGGATTTTGAAGTTAGGCTAAGGTGGGTTCATAACCCCGAGACAGGGGCCACAGAAGCTAGGGATATGGTTTTGGGGTGAGACCCCAGGATTTCCTCCATTGCCACCTCTGAGTGAGTGAATTTGGCCACATTACATAACCTCTAAATATCTCTAGTCTCACCAGTCAGAAGGGGCAAAAAATAATACCTCCATCATCGGGTTGGGGTAAGGCTTCAATGAGGCATTTGTAAAAAGAGCACTTAATAAACATTTGAGTCTGTCATCATCACCATTGTGGGCCTAGATCTGGCCACTGTGGGCCACAGCTACCTTAGGGAAGTCCCCTCCCCTCTTGGAGGTAGTACACTCGCCCGTCTATATGGAAGGGACAGGGAGACCCTCTTCCCAGGACTGTGGTAAGAAAAGTCAGGGGAATGCCCTGTGGCTTGTCTCACCTCAGCAGGGCCTCCCTGCTGTCACCTGGCCGCCACCCCTCCCGCACCCCCGCTGTGCCGTGCCTTCTCCTCCCGTTAACTGGAGGGAAACCTGCCTTTGCCTTTGCCTTGCCAGACCCTTCCAACATCTCAGGGCCCTGGAGATAAACCTGAATCTGTTCTCCCAATCTCCTAGGCCCTGTGGGATCTGGCCCCACCCCCATCCCCACCTCCTCCCTGCTGTGCACTCCGGCCTCTCTGTGGCCCTCTCTCTGTTCCTCTGACACAAGGACCCTCTCTTGGGGCAGGGTCTTCTCCTCACTTATTTCAACAATGAGAAATTATCTGCCCACCCCACTCCCCTGTCTCCCTGACTTTCTGCTTGAGCTCAACTCCCCTTTCACCCTGCAGGACTTAGCCTAGACATCACCTCTGAGAAGAACTTCCTCTGTCTTTCTTTCTAAAGTCCCATCACCCCGACCCCCATCACACTTTATTATCAGAAGCACTCCTTCTGATTAGGACTCCTTACACTGTGTAATTAGCATTATATATAATTTGTTTACCCGATTTTGCTGGGCGGGGGAGATAAATACAGTCTGAGGCATATTTGTGTCCTCAGGACCAGCCATGTGCCTTGCACATCACAAGTGCTTAATAAATGTTTACTGAACGAGTGACTCACAGGATCTGGACATTAGTTCCATTTTCTTACCTGTTCTCAAAACAGCCACTAAAGGATCTGTGCTTCAGAAGGGGGTGGGCGTGGTGACAGCAAAAGGGCCCAGAGACTCAGGTATTTCACAAGTAGAGATTGGAATGCCAGATAAAGGTAGCTCAGAGCCCGGCAATGCTCAAGGGCACCAGGTTCATCTGAGGATATTGTTCCAATGAAGGTTCAATTCAGCACAGAGGGGGGCCTGAGACTCTGCTTTTCTCACAAGCTCTCAGGTCAGACCAGACCAAGCAGAAGACAAGAATTCAGTCCCCGAGAAAGCTTTGGATTTTTAAACTGTGGAGTACCAAGTACAAGGTGAGCATAGTGGCTGGGAGAGCAGACCTGGGCTGTGTTGTGGGTGCACCTCCTGTGCTGGAAGCTGCTGGGACCCAAGACCCAGGGGCGGGGGTGGGGGCCAGAGCAGGCCAGCCAGATGGGGTGAGAGGCTTGGAATCTAGAATGTGCCTTAATCCCAGGGAGAGAATTCTATCCAGGAGTTTGCTCATTCATTTATCCACTCATTTCTCCAGCAAATCTCTGCACATTATTTTTATCCTGAGCGTATGGTGGGGACAGGACAGGTAGTCTCTGTTCTCTTGACATTAACATCCTGGAAACAAAGACCCGAATTTGAGACCGGAAGGGTGTGTGTGTGTGTGTGTGTGTGTGTGGTATTTGGGTGAGTCATTTCAGCTTTTGAGCCTGGTGAAATGTGATGCCCATTCTGAACATAGGGAGCTGCTGGGAGGTTCTCAGGTGATAGCCCCTTACAAAGATAAAGTGTTATTATTATGCACAGAACTGCTCATCTGAATTGTGAACTTGCTTCCTTCAGCCAAAGGTGGAAATCTGCAAAGGAGAATCACAGAGAGGGGTTTTCTTGTTCATTCCTTCATTCATCCAAGTGTTTGCACTGTTCTAGGCTCTGGGGATATTGTGGGGACAAAGCCAGTGAAGTCTCTGTCCTGTTGGCATTTATAGTCAGAAGGGGAAATCAAATAATCAACAAGAAAACACATATATAAACAAGAAAATGTTCTGAGTGTTAGGAAGAAAATAAAACTGGATAATTAGGTGGAGACTAGAAATGGGGCTACTTTAATTGGGAGGTTCGAGAAGGCACTTGGGACAGGTGAGATTTCAGCTGAGACGTGAGAAACCAGAAAAACAAGCCATGGTGAAATCTGAGGGAAGAGTACTCTGGGCAGAGGGAATATCACATGCAGGAGTCCTGAGGCAAGACCAAGCTTGGCGAATTTAAGAAAGGAAGAGCAGTGTGGCGGGACACAGTGACGAGGGGATGAGGTCATGACATGAGCTCAGAGAGGTCAAAGGGCCAGAGAAGAGAGAGCCCTGTTAGCCATGGTGGAGGCTTTGGGTTTTTTAAAATTAGATGTAGAGCCACTGAAAAGTAGTGCAGGGGAACTGATTTAGGATCACTCCGGTAATGGCGTGGAGGATAGTTTGTAGGGGAGCAAGAGTGGAAACAGAACAATTTAGGAGGGCTGGCAGTGTGTTTGTGAGCAAGGACGTGATGGTGGTGTGGACCAGGGTGACGGCAGAAAAGAGAGGGTGGACACAGTAGGGCTACAGGTTGGATGACAGGTACATGAGAATGGCTTGTGTTTTGGCAAAACCCCACAAACTGCTATTTTTGGAGGAGACACGATTTACCATGCAGTAGTTATCCCACTCCCTTAGAACACTACAAAACCTTCACGGAACCAGAAGGAAAGACGGCAGTTCTAATGCTATCTAGACACACAGAAGCTTCAAAAGGAGCCTATTGATGACAAAGGGAAATTTTCACCCTGTTCCCCTCCCTGTCCTCCAAGGTCTCATTGAAATTCTTTTGCTTGTTTGAAAGGGCACAAGAGATCCTGCTTTAACAAGTAATGAGTGGCACTTAGACGCCTTGAGCAGGCTCTAATTCTGATTAAGCATTATTTTAATTCGGAGGAGTTGTATGGAAGGAAGATGAAATAGATGGATGACACAGACAATTTAATTAATCTTAGAGATGGGGGTTAATAACCAGGGACCAAGGCGTGTGTTGCGCATGAGTATGTGTGAGAGAGTGTGTTGAGCTGTGGTGGTGAGGCAGCAGAGGAGGGAGGGAATGCTTGATTCCCCTGTATCAGGAGTAGAGAAGTTTCTCTGTGTTCCCCACAGGGAGGGTTCTCCCATCCATTCAACCCCAACAAAGTCAGTGTTAAGCTAGGTCCCCTGGGTTCCCAGGTTCTCTCATTTAGAAAGGGCCAAAAAACAGAGTGAACTGACATTAGCTCGAGGTTAAACAGTGGCCATAGAGATCCACCGACAGGTGTGAGAATAGAATTGACCCATCATTCACCTTTACACAGGGTACCATTATCACATCCTCTACCTGTAAGACAAAGAATCCAGTCTTAAAAAGGAACACCTGTAATTTCTTGAGAAACACATAATTCTGTTAAATTGTATTGGAGGGAAATTAAAGTTTTATTTGTTTAATGTAAGCATTCTTAAATATATCATAATTTCTTAATGTTTAGAAATGTACCTCCCCCCCTCTTGCTTCCTTCTACCTGAAATGGAATTGGCCAGGGCCCCTTTCTTTCTCAAGAAGTCCTGGGGTTAGCTTTTTGAAAGTTGGGGCTGGCTTAGCAACAAAGACCATTCCAGGTCCCCCACCCTTTCTACTCCCAGGAACATGGGGGAAGCTGCAGAAAGGACTTGTCAGAACCAGTGGAAGTGAAGCAACGGCACTTCAGGCACGGATGAGGTGAGAAGGCCCATTTCCCAGCGTCATTTGTGGCTGCCTCCCTGGGAGACCATATGTCCCCATCCACAGGCCAGCCAAGTGAAATTCATAACTAGGAATATGCATCCGTTGGTTTTTCTCTCAGTTTCTGCAGCTGTTTGTGGAGGGGTGAGGGTGGGAGGAGCAAATCATCTCTTTTGTGGGCTGAGATGACATTTTATATAATTGCTCCTGGTCTTTCTATGCTGTGCACTCCCCAAGCAGGCGCCCACTACCCCGCATCGGCAGCCAGGGCCACTCACGCCATGGGGCATACAGACTGGAAATGCATCTTCTCCAAGTATTATTCTCAGAAAGCTCAAATGAAATAGTCTTAGTTTGAATTCAGGCTAGTAACTCTTGGTAAAAATAAAAATTGAGTTGTTTTTCTTTTAAAGGTGGGGGGGGGGGAGAGATTCTTTTTTATTTGGGAGCTGTGACTGCCACCTGGTGGATGATGTTAGCTGAACAACTTCCTTCTGTTCACCTTTTCTAATGGGTCTAGTTATTAATTTACTTATTTCTTCATAAGTACAAGTGAGTGTGGAAAGCCTGTGTGTGTCAGGCACTGTATTAAGTGCCTAGGGACATGCTGTGGGAACAAAAGAGTCAAGGTTCTCGCTTTCATGTAGCAATTGTTGGGGTTGTGGTGTGACAATCAAGAAGTAAGCCACTAAATTAGAAAAATACTTTCAGAATGCGGTGAAGGCAATGTGTGAGGAAGGGACTGGGGACAGGGAGAGAAAGACTCAGGGCAGTTGCTCTCAGGAGGGTTCTTTGAGCTGAGATCTGAACCCTGAGAAGGTTCTGGCTTTGTGAACTCCCTTCACCTGCCAGGCTTTCCTGACATCCCACTGGTTGTCTTGTCAGCAGCCATCCTCACAGACTGCTTAGTGGAGCACTGATGAGCCCCAGGGGGCAGGGGCAGTGAGAGTGAAATCTGTTTGCTCCATTTGGGTGGGCCCAAATATGTTGACAAGGTACTGCAGACTTCTTTCACGAAAAAAAAAAAAAAGATTTTATTTATTTGAGAGAGCAAAAGCATGAGCAGAAGGAGAGACAGAGAGGAGCAGGCTCCTCCCGGAGCAGGGAGCACCAACTCGGGGCTTGATTCCAGGACCCTGGGACCATGATCTGAGCAGAAGGCAGATGCTTAACTGACAAAGCCACCCAGGTGCCCCAAGAGGTACAGTAGCCTTGGTCTTACCTGTTTCCTGCATTTGACCCATCCCTGCTGTGGCCAGAGGGCACTACTTTGTACCATATCTACTGTCTCTCCTGCCAAGAAAATAATCAAACACTGGATTAAAAAGGAAAAATAAATCTGTTCAAAAGGATTGAAGAGCTATTGAGGTGAGAGGACTTTGAGGGGTCAAGATTCCAGGGACGAGTAAGGAAAGCACCAAGGTGACTCTACACCATAACTTTCCCTCACCAGATGCTGCCCAGTTTATGAGTGGTAGCTAGCATTCAGTGTCACCCAAGGAGGCCTTAGGTAATGCCCTAGACTTTAAGTTGGGAGACCTGAGAAGCTTTATTCTAAGGAGTAAGACTAAATAAGATATATACCAGACTTTATAAAGACTGAAGCTGAGCTGTAAGTCAACTCAAAACTCCCTTACCTTAGCTGCCTGCCAGAAAAAAAAAAGACAGTATCATCCAGGCTCTCAAATAACCTACAGTTTTAATATTGTAATACTATGTAATATTTTTGATATTGTATAATATCTGCCATGCAAAAATTTCCCAGCACACCAGGATTCAAAAGTCAAATAATAAAAAAAACATAAAAAAGAAAAAAGTTGTAGCAGTTATCGTAAAGGGATTGAAAATAACTCCGATAAATATGTTCTAGAAAATATTCCAAAGAAATTCTGAAGCTCAGTTTTCATTTCATTCCAGAAATGGAAAACATGACTGAAATTTAGAGCTCAGTAGCAGATTGATTAGTACTGTAAAGAGGATTAATAGACTTCTCTACAGAGCAGTAGAAAATAACCAGATGAAGCAACAAGAGAAACAAGGAGGGAAACTACAGGAAAGAGCAAAAGAGTTATATGGAGCAAGGTAAAAAGATTGAACATGTGTAGTGGGGTCTCAGGAAAAAAAAAAAAAGGAAATAATGAAGCAGAAGTAATAGTGGAAGAAATAATGGCTTAGAATTGACCAAACTGATAAATAATATCAAATCACATATTCAAGAAGCATTATGCAGCCCAACCAGGATAAATGGAAAGAACATCATACTGAGTCATTTCATGATAAAACTGCTAAAAAGTGAGGACAAAAAAGAAAATCTGAAAAACAGGCAGAGGGAAAAGCTGTGTTACTTTTAAAGGGGCAGTTAGTTATAGACTGACAGTGACTTCTCAAAAGAAGTAGAAATAGTAAAACAGAATTTCTTCAAAATGCTGAAAGAAAATAGTTGACAGCCTTAAATTTGATACCCAGCAAAAAATTCTTTAAAAATCATTAGAAAAAGCTATATCAGATAAACAGATTCTTAGTGAATTCATCACCAGTTACAGCCACA